TGCTGACAAACACTTGGCCTGCTTCCTTGTGGAGTCAAATGACAGGGAAGCAAAACCAGCTAAAGCTTTAAATAAAAGTTACTGTAGTCAACAGCCACGTAGTAGTTTGCTAAGTCTTGGTATTAAACTTATGCTGGTGAATCACGGCAAAGAGCAGATCACTTTATATTGAAGCATCATTCTGGCTTTTGAGCTGCCAGGAGAACCCCAACATTTTTGATAGGAAAAAAAAAAAAAACAAACGGCAAGACTCAGCTATAAAGAAAATATTTAACATCCTGTTTTAACAAGGTAACTGGCAAATGCTCGTCCCCCTGAAAAAAAATCCAAGTCTAAAAAAACTCACAGAATCTTCCTCCTCTGCATCAGCATCAGCATCAGCATCTCCTGGAGGCTCGGCCGGTCTCAGCTGTCGTGCAGAACCTGAAAGCAGCAGACAGGTTGTTGGTGTCTGCGGGATCCACGCAGAGCACAGAGCAGCCAGCTTGCAAGCTGGAGCCCTCTGGAGCAGCACGCCCGGGGGGTGGGGGCCACACAGGGCCAGCTGTAGAAAGGCCTGCTTTCATTCAGATTCCTTATCTGAGATCTCATCAGGCCAATCTTTCCAAAGATACCAGAAATATTCGTATGCAGAAATGTAAAGGCTTTTGTGAAGGAATAAAATCCCCAGATTGGAGAAAATGTAGAACTAGAAGTTGGTCAGATTATTATTTTTTTTTTAATTACCAAGGGGGACTTGAGGTGTGTAGTGGGCAGAATTGGTGGAGTTTTGGCAGTGGTGTGGCTGTGGGGTGGTCTCTGTGGGAGGATGTCATGGACCACCCTGTGTTGGATGCAGCTGCTTGCAGCCAGCTCCACCTGCAATGTTGAACCGATCCCAGGAGTTTCTGGGACCTTTATGAAAAGGTGTTTAAGAAAAGGTGGCAAATGCTGAGAAAAAGAGACAGCACCACTAAAGGAGGAGGAGAATAAAGACAGAAAACCACATCAGAACAGGAGGAGAGAGGAGACTTGGCAGAGCAGGAGAAATGCTGGAGCAAAATAGGGTCTTGAGAAGGGGCCGGAGGAAGACAAATTACCTCAGCAAGGGCAGAGAGGAGGAGGCTTGACTCTGACGGGTTGGCAGCTGGTGGAGGAACCCACTCTGAGGCAACTGAATACGAAGCAAGAAAAGCAGCCAGCATCTGCTCACCCCTGTGTCACCCTCACCTCCCCAAAAGGGCTGAGCGTAGCCCACAGAAAGGGGATTGGAGACCAGAAAAAGGGGAGAAGAGGTTTGCAGAGCTGAGCTGAGGTGTTTTCTCTAAGTGGCTTTATTTTTTTTAAAAAAAATCAGAATCAGTAATTAGAAGTTCAGTAATAAATAAAATAAATACATTTTATTTATTAATAAATAAATCAGTTGAAATCTGCCATCGCAAAACTCTTCTTTGCCTTTGACAGAGGTCTTAGGACAAGTTCCAGAGAGTAAACATCATGAAGCTTTGATAGTCATAAAGACTCTGATTTCTTGGTTTTTAAAAGTATTCAGGGTGGAGAGAGATGGGGTGAAGGAAATGGGCTGTTTGAAACTATGATTCTGTTGAAATGCCTTAAATTGGGCACTGAAGAATGAAAACAGCATGAATACATCATTGTTTTCAGAGATCCAGGCTTAGCCAGTAGAGGACAGTGTGACTGAATTACACATTCCGTGATGCACAGGCTATTCTGACACAGGCACAAGTCCTTGTCCTGATAACTATGTCTCTTTCCTGTCTCCATGTTACGTTTTTTTCAAGCCATCAGGCTGTCTCACGCTCTCACGCCCAATTCTGCAACTGCCATTAGTGTACATAGTTTTGGCTCTCCTAAACAGATCCTCTGGCTTAAAAATATGCTTGAACACTACAGAAAAAAACCGCAAGCAGAACTGTGCAACTCATTCATTGTCTACTTTAAATGAAGAATCCTTGGGCTGGAACACAACATTTCTGGATGTGGGTATTACATGCTGTGTGTGCAGACAAGCTGGCACGACTTATGCATGTATGCAATCACTCGAACTTACACAAATTGCCAAACTCTTGTTAAAATGGCTGTGCTTTTGCTAGCTTTTCTTCACAGTTTTCTGATCTCCTACATTTATTTTTCCCTTGACTTTTTTGAAGATGAAATTATTTGGTACAGGCAGGGTCTTGAAAGAGTTATGCCACGTGGCCAGTGAT